TGAGGAAGCACAGAATGAAATGTGGCTGTCACGTCTTACTGCTGTCTGTCTTGTTTTGCTGTGAGACTGCTTTCAGCTGGAGGAACTAGGCTTCATTTGACGTATGCTGATGGTATGAGTGAATATACATGTAAAAAGGAGACGTGCAGTATGTGGCTGGGGATTGTTGGCATCATTCTTCTGCTGGTTCACTTACAGAAGGTCTTTGGTGCTCCTCCGGGACCTTTTTCTCAGGGAGTTAAGAGTAGGTTTTAGGATTTGGGCAGTTTAACAGGCTTGTCCATGTAAGCATCAGGGATTGGGATTTCTGAAGGGAATGCAGACAGAAAAAACTTCCTGCAATACAGCAAATGCAACCCTTGTGAAAGACTTGACAGGTTCCCTCCTGAGCAGCTTCACATACAGAGCAGCTTAGTCACAGCTCCAAGGGCTGCTCAGAAAGGTGCCCAGTTCTTTATTGAGGGGTTAGGAGTGCCAGGCTGCTAAATTTGTGGCAGTGAGAAAGGTGTATGCATGGGTTTATTTCAACCTTGATGCTTGAATTTCTGGGTGGCTTTTTGTGTCTCGAATAGCACTTCTGCTTGTGTAATCCACGTAATTTAGCTTTTGCTGTCTTATTTTCAGAAGATTAAAGGCTGAATGCTATTTTGGTTTCTCCATGACAAAGGGCAGCATTGTCTTTTTATAGCAACCGGTGTTTTTGGCCAGCGGTGTCAGTGCTGTCCTAGGATGGATCAGTTTCTAAATAGGAAGTTCAAGTAGCTTAGTTCTGGCGGTTCGGGTTTCTTAGTTTCCATGGCATTTTACGTGGCACAGAGGTGAGCTCTTAAATTACACAGTCCCTGGAAATACCACATGGATTAGAATTGCACGCTCTTTTCTGGCAGAGTATGCTTAGTAACCTGTAACTTGGCTTTATTTTTGTTTCAGGGAGATTAAATAGCTTTGAGACAGAAAGCTGGCATTTTGCTGGAGCTTTGTTTATGTAATTGTTAAACGTGCAGATGACAAAGGGCGGACGGAGAGCTGAAAGCTGTTGCTTTTTGGTATTTCTAAAGCTTGTTCAGAGCCCCTGACCTCCTTGCTGAGGTTTAAGGGCTTCCCTCCCTCAGCTCAGTGGCTTCATCAGCTAAGAAAAAGCTGTATAAGCTCTCGAATTGCCTTGGTTATTATTCTCTTGTGTTTCGAGACAAAGCGAGTGGGCTGTGTGTTTCTCCTAGTCATTCTGAGCCGGCTTAGGCATGGTAAGGAGCAGCGGCTGTGTGTGAGGAGCAGTGATGGAACGTGATACAGCAGATTTCTTCAACGTGTTTGTGCTGTCAGTGTGTTACCCACAGATATGTGTGCTGTGTAATTCTTAGTTTCATCTGTTTGGGCTGTGTTCAGAAGTCCTGCCGATACTTGCAAGAGCAGCTCTGCAGCTGTTCCAGACTTACAGCTGTCAATGCACGTCTCAACTTGAGCAGCAATGTTTTTCTCATAGTAAATACTGCTGCTTATATTTGAAGGAAAACAACTCCGTGGTTAAAAGGAGCTAGCAAAAATGCTGCTTTTTGTTTGTTCCTTATGCTCAGTGCCCATCTTTATGCGTGTATAGGCACTGCAGTGCCTGATGTTCTGTTTGTAGGTTGCAGACAGTGTTAGCGTTGGGTGGAAGGGCCCAGTGCTCCTTGCAGCAAGGGCTGCCTGCAGCAGGTGCTGCTGTGCACTGCTGGCTCCTGCAGGCTGAGCTGCGCTGCTTCTCTGCTCTCGGTGGAGTTGGGCCTGTGGGTGCAGCATGCCTGGCATGAGGAACCTGGGGTATTTCCAGGTGTTTTCAACAATCCTGACCTTTCTTTTTAAGTTTATTGCTAATTTTGAAGATTTGTAAAGCTAGCAGAGATTTACAAAGAGGCTGGAACGATTTTTTTTTTTTTTTAGAGCTAAATACTTCAGCTGTGTTTTGCTTGTCACGTGCCAGTGATGGATGAGCTCTGGCACAGAGCACAGACCTTTTTTGAAAAGCTAATGCCAGTGGATTTGCTTCGGGGTTTATTGCTGCATTTCTCCAGTAATACAACAGGAAAATGTTTACAGCTTGAAATAGGAGTTCCTGTAACTGGAGGAGGGCAAGTGCTGCTGCTTTAATTTCTAGATGAACAGATACTTTCCATCTGATAATAAATATGCATTCTTCCATCTGTTAGTGATCTGATGTCAAAAATAAGATTAGATTTCTACCTTGATAGAAGCAAAACTGCTGTCTACTTAGCTCTGCTGCTTTCCCAAAAGGGTTTTGTAAACATGTTTTGTATAACTCTGTTCCTGAATTATGCGTAATTCTGCGTTTTAGGTTCAGTCTAATTACGTGTGATTAAGGGAAGAACTTGAAAGATTTTTCTTTCTTTTGTCTGGTGAAGTCTTTCTGTTGTTCCAACCTACATGGTTGTGTTGCTGCAGTTGCCAGTGGTTTCATAAGAACAGATCAGAAGAAAAAAACTGGTATCAGTATTTCTAAGAAGCAGGTGGGACAGACCAGTAGAAGAGACCAAGCACTGTATGTTCAGCAGGAGAAGTGGCTGCTTTGTAGCAGGTGAGCTGGTGGTGCTGAGCACATCTTATGGTGCCGGACTCCTGTTGCTCTCATCCTGACCTGTGAAGCCTGGAGCCAAAGTCTTGCTGCTTGGAAAGTGAATGCACATGTTGTCTCTATGTGTAGGTATGGAGGAGTTGATATTTAACTCCTGTAACTGTTCCTGCTGGGTGTTTTTACAACACCTTGTAACTGAGAGATGAGCACGTACACGTCTCTGAATGACCACTTAAAGATCATTATATTGATTGATTTGCTGCAGAAGAACACAAAAATAAGTTCATTTGCATAGGAACTTACAGCATTTTTTTCCTTACCAGTACTTATAAGTAATGAAGTAGTGTGAGTAGTCACAGACCCATGGTTTAAGTTATACCTTTCCCCCACTCCTTTAAAGCAGATTTGATAGAGCAGCCTTCTGAGATACAGACCAAAGTGTTGCAGACACTAGGAAGATTTGTTAGCAGATACTGCAGATCTACAGCATGCCACTGCCCTGTGTCTTTTTCTTGCATCTAGGGAAACCAGGAAGCACTTATCCAAACAGGTTTGACATCCTGATGTTGCATCCCTCTGCTTTGTAGCTTGTATTCAAGGAGTATACCTTGCTATTTGCAATAGGTTGACAGAGCTGGTAACGGAAGACAAAGCTTGCCTGTTGTGTGCTCACGTAAGGGTTTGGAATGTGCTGGTAAAATCCCACTCAAATAGGTGCATTGCAGGTTCTTGGTGTGCTTATGCTGGTCCTGCTGTGAAGGCTGTTCTCTTTGCACATGGCAGTGACTCCCAACTGAGCCCTCAGTACGGTTCCAATGTGCACAAAGCAGGTGGTGGGTGTCTCACAAACTTCCCTTGGTGCTTTCCATGTTGATGGCTGCATGTTTGTCTGTCCCTTCTCAGTTGGTTTTCATTTCTTCAGATTGGACCGGTTTTCTCTTTGTCATTTCCAGTGGGTCACTGGTTTTCTGCTTGCTCACATTTGCCCATCTGTGTGGTTTGGCTTCCTTGGAATCTGTAGGAGGGACTCATCTTTGGTTCTGTGGGGTTGGGGCATTTTGTAACAGCTCACCTCTGCAGGCAGCTTCCCTTTTGCATTGTGCAGTGAGCTGTGGGAAGGGGGGCAGAAAGCTTTGCTGCCTCGTTTGTGCCACCTGAGTGAGTGGGGGCTGTTGGAGGCTGCAGGTTGGCCCCAGTGTGTGCAAGTCTGAGCTCAGGGAAGCCCAGCTTTAATAGGGGGTCAGAAAGGTGGTTTGGAGCCAGCAGTTTAGCTGTTGGGTGTTGGGGAAAAGGGTTATTCAGTGAGATTGTTAGGAAGGGGGGAGTTGGTGCTTAGTTGGGATCTCCAGGGGATGTATTCATTAATGCAGTCACATATTGGACTGAGTTAAGAATCAGTAAGGGCATAAAATACCTGCTAAAGAGTGGAGTCACCCAAGATGCATTTTAAAATGCTGAAAACGTGAGTTATTGGTGCTGTTCTTTTATAGTCACTGTCATGTGTGGATGAAAATAAGAGCACGTGGGGAAGGGCAGAGCACGCTGAGTTTGGCATAAAGATGCTGGAAGATGGCTGCTGTGTGCTCTGTCCTGCCTAAAGAGCATTGGTAACAAGCTGGGCATGGAATGGGGAAAAAGCAGTGTAAACTTGTGCTCATCCTGGCTGAGATCTCTGCTGTCAGAAGCAGCCAGACTTATGTTAGAGCTTTCCTTTTGAAGGAAGTAAAACCTGTCTGATGTTTGCAAGGCTGTTTGTGCAAGCATGGTGTTTGTAAAAGGGATGGTACAGGGGTTTCTGGTGGGCCTTACAGTTGTGATTCAGGTTCTGTTAAGCTGAGTGGTGAATTTCCCGATATTAGGGGAAGTTAAAATAACAAACACATTGTTTGTAGTAAAAATCCTGGGGTTTTAGCATTACAGAGCAAAATCTTAAGGGTATTTTTGCTGTGACATGCTAATGAGAATACCTCTGAAGGCCACTTTGTGGCGTGGAAACAACTTGAACTCAGATATCTTTCATACCTTGAACGGGTAAAATACAGTAATTGTTCCCAGGGCCAACTTAAGCTGCTTGATTCACTGAGATATAAATCGCTGGCGGGGCGTGCAGGCGTGTCGCCTTTTGGGCACTGCTGCCCTGTTCAGACCTTACACGCATTACAGGCTTACAGCAAGACAGGAGCAGCAGGGCTCACTCGTACAGGCACAGTGAGTTGTCCTTACTGGTGCGAGTTCCCTCTGTCTCTCCAGCCTTCACATCATCCCCACTGAGCACATGGTGTTTGGCTTGTGGAGTTGTTTCTAACGTGCCTCTCCCCCCCTCCTTTAAATATTGCATAACTGCTATTTTTATAATACCAGAGCTATAAAAAAGCTTGCTTTGTTAGCCTTTGAATGGGAAGCTGTGCTGTATGATGTGCTGCCAGACCCGTGTTTTTCAGGAAGCAGCGAAGGAGTGTGAGCAGCCCTGCTGGGGGCTGTGCTTGGGAGCACTGCTGCCAAGTAACGTGCTGCACCATGGGCAGGAGTGTTGTCTGCACCGCTTGGGCCTGTGTGAAGCAAACAAGCTGAGCTGCTGCTAACAAGTTCCCTGAAGGTGCGTTGGGTAAGCAAGGCGTTGAGTGCTGGCTGTGTTGCAGGTGCTTTCTGCTACACGGCCCTGTGTTGGAGCAGTGTCTGTAAGACCGAGCTCCTGGTGCAGCTTCTGCAGCAGTAGGACTGGTGCTAACCAGGAGCCAGAATCACTGCTGCCAGTCGGTGTCTCTGTGTCAAGGGTAATCAGGAAGGTGCTCACAGAGCTGTTCTGCTGTCTTGGAAAGAGCCCCTCTTGCAGTGCCCATGTTCAGTGCCAGCACGGAGCTGTGCTCCCCCATGGCCTTGTGCATGCTGAGCTCTGCCCCCAGTGAGTGCCAGCAAACCTCTGCCTTGCACTGGAGGCACCAGAAGCCTTGCTTGTGCAAGGAAAGCCCAATTGCAACTCTGGAGACGTGGAACTGCTGCAGTTGGGAAATGGCTGGGGTGACACTGAGAGGTCCCGACCTGCCTGTCTACAAGCTGTGTGTCGTGCTGTGGGTGTCTCTGGGGACACAGTCAGAGCACGGTGACAGAATGTGCTGGAAGGGAAGCTTGCTAATTTGGTAATGCTGTTACGCTTCTTGAAAGCAAGGGAGAAAAAACAGCGAAGTGCTGTGTAGTGAGTAGAATATCGATCTGTTAGCTGTGGTGCAGGTAAACATTCCCGGAGCTGGAACCGAACGATCGATCCGTGTCCTGAAGTGGTGCTTTCACTCCAGTAATGCCCCCACGGCCGGGGCGTGCCGTGCGCGGTGTGCTGCAGCCCGCGGCGCTGCTTCTCGGTTAATGGAAAGCCGCCGGGTAACAAAGGAGGGCAAATAAAAATAGAGCCGTGACCTGGAACGCTTTGTGATCCCTTTGAACTAAGTGCGTTGTTGTTTGAGTAATGATCTTCAGACGAAATAAGAGGAGCCTGTTTTCGCTGCAGAAAGTTAATGATTAAAGCTCCTGTCTAAAATTAGAGCGATTTGACTAAAATTTTACGTGCAGGCAGGCCGGGCTGAGCTGCGCTCCGTGACCCCGCGCCCGGCGGTGCAGGGGCGAAGGGGGCGGTGCTGGTGCGCTGCGTGCCGGGACGGCCCGCCCATCGCCGGCATTGCGCAGGCGCGGGAGGACGGGAGCTGTTGGCCCCGCCCATCGGCGGCTGCCATTGGTCGAGGCGCGGTGGGCGGGCCGAGGCGCGGCGATCTGTCTGGCCGCGTCCCGAGCGCGCCCGCAGTCCGGCGCCGGCCGAGCGGCGCGCGGGGCTGAGTGGGGTGCTCAGTTCGGTGCTCCTCTGCTTGCCTTACAGACCGCTGGGCTGGAGCTCCGCCTGCGCGCCTCCGGGACCTCCACCTCGGAACCGCCCTCACGCCGTCGCCTCCCTCTGTCTAATGCGCTACAAGGATGAGCCCAGCATTTGGAGCTATGGAAGTGGAGCACTATTCCAAGGGAGTCCTGCTCGAGCCCTTTGTCCACCAGGTCGGGGGACACTCCTGTGTCCTCCGGTTTAATGACAAGACTATCTGTAAGCCCCTTATCCAGCGGGAGCACCAGTTCTATGAGACTCTCCCAACAGAAATGCGTAAATTCACTCCGCAATATGAGGGTAAGTTACAGAACCATAGGATGGGGTCAGGCTGCTGCTTTCTGCAATACCAGCGTGCTGTGTGCTCTGCTGTCTCTGAAATCTCTTCTGCGTGGAAGAGGTTTTGGGGGTTTTCTTTTCATGTATTTTGATGTTGTCTGAGGCAGGCTGTGGAGATGCAGGGTGGAAATGCTTGCCCAGTTGGTGTTTGGGCTGCCTAACAGCATTAGTGTAGAGCAGCTCTGCTGGTGATAGCCCATATATCTCCCTTAGGCATAGGTAAGTCATGAACAGCTTGCGGATATTTTCAGTAATTATCTGCTGCTTTTTTTGTGGATTTGTAATTAATTTTCACCACTTGTTTGATGTCTGTTTACAGGAATTTGATAAGTTGGGTGGTGTTGTGTGTAAGCTTAATTGTGATCTCGTTTATTTGGGGGTTTGTCCTTTCACTCTCATTTTGATCACAATAAATACACGTTGGTGAAGTGTCTTGTCAAATATTTGCAGCGTTGTTTTGTCATTAAGGAAATGAAAATCCATGGCGTTTAGGTAGGCAAAGATCAAATAGCCATGATGAGGCTGAGTCAGATCTTATGTAGGAGTGGAAATTCCAGTTCTCCTAAACATTGCACTAGTTAACAGAAATTCTTTTCTTTGTTATTCCATCGATGGCTGGTTGGTGATTAATAAATAATGACCGAAGCATTTTTTAACTGGAGTTGCTTTTCATGGCACACTGACTTTAACAGCTGTAGGGTGACCGTTTGTGAAACTGGCAGAAGACTTCAGAGATGTTTCCCAGTAGTGCTGCCTGCGTGCTGGCAGAGACTGACACCTCTTACATGAGTTCTTTGGGACTGGAAGAAAATGTGGTCTTTCAGTGATCCTTTTCAGAATGTAATAGAATGATTGTACCGGTCTGCATGGCTCTGGGGAGTGTGGGAGGGATTTAGGGGATAAGGGGCCTCACTTGGGCCTTCTGTTATTATTTTTCCAGGATAAAGGCCATTTGCTAGCTGGTTCCACCCCCCTTTTTCCTGTTGTCCTTTCCTTTGTGGCAGCAGGAGTGTCAGAGCCTCTGCACCCCCTCCCATGGGCACTGTAGGTGTCAGAGCTGCCTGCCATCTCTCGCCGAGACCTCTCCCTGTGGCCCAAAGATGAGCTGCAAGAACTTGATTTGAGGATAAGGAGAGGGGACTGGAAAATAAAAACCTAAAAACCAATTCAGACATTGTCATGGCTTAAGCACGCCCAGAAGCATGCTAACATTAGCATGGGGGGCTCTGTGTCAGAGCACTGTGCTGGGACTCTGAATGCAGCGCGGTGCTCCAGAGCCTCTGCAGAGGGAGGGTCAGAGAAAAGTGTTCTCAAGGTTCGCCGTCTCCGTGTACCACAGATGTGTTCTGTACTGCATTGTGTTATTTATTTCACAACACTGCTGCATTGCTGCTATCAATAAAATATATACCAAAAAGAAGAGAATGTGTAATTCAATGTAGTGATTTAAGAGGGATGCACTCGGACTAGTTTCACTGTCGTGTGACATCATCTTGTTTTGCTCTGCTTGCAAGTCTTTTCCCCTGGGGTTCTGCTGACCAAATCCTGTTTGCACAAGTGGGTTTTGCTTTGCTGTCATGCAAAAACTTAAAGCTTTCACTGTTTGGATTTTTTTTTTTTGGTGCAGATTTTCACTGCAAGTTGTTAACATGTTTGACATCTCGTTTAGGGTCAGACCAGTCAGGTTTTTTAATAAACATTTTTGTTAATTGAAATTGTCTCCTGTTATTATTTGATTCTTACTTGATTCTGAATTGGAGAGAACAGATTTTTTTTTTTATATTCTGTCATTATGATAAATTGTCTTTTTTAAGGTATCATCTTTGTCTAGGTCTTTTGATATTTGTTAGGTTGGCAAATGAGGTTTGGCCTGTGGCAAGATAGAAACTAAGGACCAGGGTAAGAAAAAAACAAAAGTTGCTGTATTTTTAATGTTGTGTGTTGTATAAGGCTTGCTTATTGCTTCAGCAATTCACAGCTGCTTATGTCCTTTCTCTCTTCAGGCGTGGTGTCAGTGAGCTTTGAAGAGGATGAAGATGGAAACTTATGTCTAATAGCATATCCATTAAATGGGGACCACGATAACTTGGAAAACTTAGATAATTCTGACTGTGAACCCAAAAGTAAGCTGTTGCGATGGACTAACAAAAAGACAGTGTTGTTAGAAAATGAGAAGCTATCTAAGGAGTGGGTCCGACAGCACAGGAAAGAGGAAAAAATGAAAAGGTAGGTTTGAGAGGGAGAGCTGGGATGCAGAGTGTTGAAGCATAGCATTTTTTGCTGTCAAACTGGGATAAGGTCTCCAGAATTCCAGAGAACTCTCCAGATCTCTGCTTTCAGTTTCTGTTCTCATTTCTTTCATCTTTTTCCTGACCTTTTCACTGCAGTCAGGCTCGGCTGTGAAACTGCCCTGTCCTGAGCCTGATAGCATGGTGGCTGCTTTTTGCTGCGATTAGCTAAGAAGGGTTTTCCAGTGCTGTACAAAAGATGTGTTACAACCAAGCCATCATTCCAGTTGTGCTGTTGTAGCAAGCCAGCTTTATCTCTGTTAATAACGTTTTCTCATAATTATGCCTTCTGTGAGCTCTGTGAGCTGTGAAGTACTGAGCTAGAACACTAACCTTAGCAAGGGTAAGGATACCTTGAAGTATCCCTTACTTCTTTGGAAGTAATTCAGACAGGTAAAGAATGCATATGTTGAATTACTGCATGTTTTGTGACTAATTTACCTGTATGCTAATTGTCTGACTGTACAGAAAGAGGGAAAAAACTAGTGCTAGCTGTTAGAGAAAGCAAGTAAAATAGACCTCACTGGGTGTAACTTTATAAACTAAGTGTTCATTGTTGCTTCACTTCTAATCTAATCTAATGCTTTATTCTGTTTTCTAGTCATAAGCTAGAGGAAGAGTTTGAGTGGCTGAAGAAATCTGAAGTTTTGTATTATACTGTAGAGAAAAAAGGAAATATTAGTTCACAGCTTAAGCAGCATAATCCTTGGAGCATGAAATGTCACCAGCAGCAGTTACAGCGGATGAAGGAAAATGCAAAACACCGAAATCAGTACAGTATCCTTTCCTGAAGATGGAATGGGTAGGGCTCTGCTTTTTATTTCTTGCACATGACAGATAAAAATTTAGCCAGGCTTAACTCCAACCCAGGGATCTTTGTGAAGCAGTCACTTACATGGTGACTTGGAAGGGATTGCCAGCACTTTCCAGGATGCAGGCTTTTCCAGCGTGCTGTGAAGTAGTGAGGGTAGGAAATCCAAGTAACTTCTGCAGACTGGGACTTAGTTAATGGAAAGGCTTTAGAGCGTTTGGGATCTTCCACAAAACAGACTTACTAATGTAAGCTTTTGGAGGAGGGGAGAGTTAAGTGACTCTTTTTTCCCTTGGTGGGAGCCATTACTGTGATCAGTACTGAGGATCCCAAAAACTAGTTGCTGCTTTCCCTTCTCAGCAACTTCTCAATGTTGCCTGAAATACAGGGTGGGATGGTCTGATAGAGTGGTCTGCTTTTGATAGTCTCCTTACAGTGAGCCTTTCTGATAAAGACAAGCTGAATATAAACTGTCAGGATGGCAGCATGAGAAAAAAGCAGCGACTACATGAAAGCTGAGGCACGCTTCTGTGCTCTGCAGCTTCAGGCAGAGCATAGCAACGTGTCCAGAACAGGACAGTGAAGCTGTGAGGGGCCTGGAACGCAGGTTTTATGAGGAGCAGCTGAAGGAGCTGGGGTTGTTCAGTTGAGCAGAAGGAGCTGGGGTTGTTCAGTTTGCAGAAGAAGAGGCTCGTCTCTCTGCAGCTGCTTGAACGAAGGCTGTGGCAAGTTGGGGTCTGGCTCTGCTCCCACATAACTAGCCATAGGACAAGAAGTGGTGGCCTTGAGTTGGAAGGCATTCCAACTTGTTCACTGTAGGAAACCTTTATTCTCTGAAAGAGTGGTGGTGGGTGAGCAGTTGGACTGGATGATCTTGGAGGTCTTTTCCAACCTTGGTGCTGTTTCTGTGGCTGGGGGAGGTCCTGCTATATGCAGGCTTGCATGCAGCCAGTAAATCCTGCCAAAATACTGATACCTGTATGCTTTGGTAAGCAAATCCCTGTGTGTGAGGAGTTCTGGTGAATGAATTACCAGAACATCTCAGTGACTAATAAACTGTTCAGAGTGAGAGAAAGTACTTTGTGGCTGCGCAGAGTTGTCACTGCTTCACTGCAGGTGGCTGATAAATTACCTGGGAAGTGTGTGATATTTCAGAAGCAGACCTTGTGTTCTGAGGTATTTATGGGCTGTACTTTGAATCTGTAGCTTGTCTGCCAGATTTTGTGACCTCAATTACATTTTTCCCGCTTACTGCAAATGAACAAAGAAATCACCTGTCATTTATCTTCTCTAGAGACCAGTATAACTAGGAGTAGGTAAGTAATACCAGGTGTTTGCAACTGAGTTTTGATAGGCTGCTGTTTAGTGGGCATGATTACGATTGGAATTACGGCACTGACATGGCTGTGGTAGCGGTTTTGAAGTCCTGTGGCTGTACTGTGAGGATGGTTCCTTAACTAGCACTTCAGAATTCATTTTGCTGGAAAACCTGACATCTCGCTATGAAGTACCGTGTGTGCTGGACCTCAAAATGGGAACCCGGCAGCATGGAGATGATGCATCAGAGGAGAAGAAGGCGAACCAAATCCGTAAATGTCAGCAGAGCACATCAGCTGTTATTGGAGTCAGAGTTTGTGGCATGCAGGTGAGAGGAAAGTGAGTTGCGTGTAAGGCAACTGACGAGTACCTGTTTCTGATTGTGTCTTTTACCTTCATTTCTTGCTTCATCCTTTGTGTTGTTGTCCTTGAGATGCTGTGCTTCATTTCGAGCAGTGAGGGGAATGAGGCTTTTGTGAATGACTTCCCAGTGGAAGGTGGCAGCTCCTGCATCACAGGGAAAGTGTTCTCTGAGCAAGAAAGTTCTTAGGTGCAGGCTCCTGCACCATAAGAGTAATTGAAAATTGTGTAGTAAAATTACTGATTTGATTAACATCTCAGGATAAGCAAGATAAGTGTAAGAAACAGTTGAGGAGGTCTCCTGGAACATGCATTGTGAATAAAACATGGAAATTAGCCAAGATTTTAACTAGCATCAGTTCTGTCTTGCAGACTATGAAAAGCTGTAGATCTTTCTGTTTAAAGTAGGCTTGTTGTGAAGTGGGTTAGAAAGTGTGGTAAGAGTAGGGGCTGAATGAGATCTGTGCATGGACTTTCACCCAAGTTTTTTGTTTACTTGTTTCTGTATTTCCTAGAGTGACAAGTGGGAAAGAGCTTGTTTGTTTCTGAGGCTTTCCCGAAGCCTCTCCTCCCATCCAACAGATTCTGGGAATGCCAGCAGTGTTTGCTGGGACTTGTTCCACAGCACGACTCTTGGCATGATTGGTGTTCAGCTCACTGTTGAAATTCTGAGAAAAGCACGAGGCAGCTCCCACACTTTTGTTTCTGCCTTTTAACCACACTGCAGGGATTTGAGCTGGCTGGTTTGCCTTCCAGTACAGACCTGTGGTGGAAAACAAGGAGGAGCTTTAGAAGCACCTCTCGTGTTTACTTTATGGAGTTGTTTTGGCATTTTTTCTGTGCACTGTGTTGAGTGCTTTCCCGTAGGAAGAATCTTCCTGCAGGAGAACCTCCAACTTCTTGGAAATACGGAGATGTATGGTGGCACACCTTGCTTTTCTGAAACAGGGTTTGCTGTCCTGTTCTGAGCTCAGCATCCTGGGAATGAAGTGGTGTGCCTGTGAGCAGAGGCAGGTGGTGTCCGAGTGGCTGCAGTACAAGTTGTATCTTGCACGGAGATCTTGGCCGCAGCTTTCCTAATCTCGCTTGAACTCCCCAATCATACATTCCAAGTGGAAAAGCTCAAATGTAAACTGAAATACTTTTCCACTTCCTCTGAGCCTCGAAGTTCCGTAGCCACTGCTGGCTGTTGTTGCAAACAGTTTCTGCAAGAGCGGTGTTGAGAGCGGCGTATCATCGTGTAAGAGCTTTCCATAGCAGCCTTCTCAGCAGTGCCAGCAATTCTAACTCCTCTTTTCTCTTGTGTGTGCTTGAATACACAGGTGTACCAGGCAGGCACTGGCCAGCTGATGTTCATGAATAAGTACCATGGGAGAAAGCTCTCAGTCCAAGGATTTAAAGAAGCACTTTACCAGTTCTTTCATAACGGCAAATACCTGCGCAGGGAACTCTTTGAATCTGTTATTAAAAAACTGACTGAACTCAAGTCTGTCCTGGAGAAGCAGGAGTCCTACCGCTTCTATTCGAGCTCCCTGCTGATCATCTACGACGGGAAGGAAAGGCAGGAAGTTGCTGTCGACTCGGACCCGGAGGACTTGGAGGACCTTTCAGAGGAGTCTTCGGATGAGTCGGCAGGAGCGTATGCCTACAAACCCACTGCTAGTACTGTTGATGTCCGTATGATAGACTTTGCCCACACCACCTGCAAGTACTATGGGGAAGATAGCGTGGTGCATGAGGGCCAAGACACGGGTTACGTTTTTGGACTTCAGAATTTAATAGATATTATTAAAGAAATAAGAGACGAAAATAGCGAATAAACAGTGTGAATGCACATCAGTAGAAAGCGCACTGTCGTGACTCTGTATTCCAAAATTATTGGCCACTTTCTGGTGGTAGGAATCCTTACAGGCTCTGCAGGGATGCTCCTGTCAGAGTCAGACTTGTTCAGAGGGCATTTACTTATATTGGTGCTGGACCTAGCACTGGCAAAACTTAGTATCCTTATTTATTTTAACTTTCTTAAACATTCCATATTTGATTACTCAGATACCTCTGTTATCCCTGTGTGTATACGTTCCAATAAAATTCTTTTTGTTCATTGTAAGTGATGCTTGTGTCATTGCTGCTGACTGAGAAGGGGGTAAAGTTTTGAGATCTTTCTGCTGGTGTTATGCAAAAGCAGCATTAGAACAGCAAAGCTTTCGTTAGACCACATGGAATAATGCATTGCTTCTGGGCCTCCTGTCCAGAACAGCGAGTGAGAACCATGGCAGCGGAGAGCTGGGGCCTGGCCAGCAGCTGGAGCACCTGCCTCTGGGGAGCAGGGCCTGTGTGGGTCTGGAAGAAGGTGCCTCTGAGGGAGCAGAGGGATGAAGGCTGTTGTAAGCCAACAGTCAGCCTCTAACAGCCAACAAACTGTTTCCTGTTTTGGGATCTTGTAAACTGACTCCTGCTGTGTAACCTGTTTCTATATAAATTTTCCTAATCTAAGATGAGCCAAACCATACGTAAGAAACTCCTACAGGATTAGCTGTAATAGCAGCTGGTAGGGCAGAGCTGCAGAGCTTGCAAGTTATCTTAAGCAGCTTAAAATCTTACTTGGGATGAATAGGTGGGAAAGGAATGTCAGAATGTCAGAAGATGGGTGAATAATTGCTCTAAAGATAACCGAGCAGCCCTACTCTCGTTCCTCTTTGGAAAGAGGGATGTTTATTCATCGAAACACTTTTAGTTGGCTGACTTTTCCTCTTGGGAAGCTTGTAAATCAGCATGACAGTGCAAGAGCAAAATGGTGTGGAAGTTGAGGAGCACTGTTTCTTATTCCATTTGCTCAGGATAAAACGAGGGCATGTTGAAGTGGGGGGTGGTGCTGGGGGTCCTGGCCCTGGCCTGTCTTTTGCTCAGGCTGTGGAAGTGAGAGGGTCCTTCTGTTCCCCTGGGTACCAGCACAAGGGGCTGGAGCAGGAATGCAATGGGCAGGGAGGCAACCTGCCTGCTGCTGTCGGGTTCTGTTCAAAGTCTCTGCAGTGGCCATTCTGTGCTCTTTTGTACTTTTTATAGAGGTTTTTCTTTACTCTTCTTAGTTTGTGGTTGCTTTTCTTGTTTGTTCCACAGTACTAAGATGCAAACCAACAGCAGTGTCAAAGAGCTACGTTTACGTTTTGCACTCCATCTGCTGTTTTGCAGCTGCACGTGGAGATGGAGGGTTGCTGCAAGGAGGCAGTAGTGTGATGGTGCTTCATGCGTCCCTGTGCCTAGCACAGCCCGCAGAGAGCCCTGCTGAACTGCCGCCGGGAACGTGAGCCGGGCGTGCTCAGGGGCTGTTTGCTGTTGGCACTGCGGGTTGCAAAATTCCTTGGGCAGCGATCAGTGAAACTTCCTGCTGTCCTCTGCGATGTGCTCTAGGTGTGAGTCAGAATACCGGGAACGAGGAGCGGGATCGCCTGCAGCAACGTGACGTTTCCTTTTCAGTTCTGCTTAAATGCGATGCCCTCTGCTAATGAGCTAATGACAGTCTCCTGGCAGGCTGCGGTCACCCGCCGCTGCTGCAGCATATAAATAAGCCTGCCTGTGCAGATTCATCTGATACACGGTTTGACTTTGTAGTCTGAAATTAGCAGGGATAAAGTCCTCTAATGGACTTCTGTTACGTACGAACTCTGGAGGGAACTCATAAAATCCGATGAGAACAATCGCATTTGCTCTGATGCAAGCTGCCTCCAGAACAAGTCCTCTTTGTTTCTGCTGCGAGGGTTGGGAGCTGCTGGGAGCAGCGTGAGCCCTGGGTGCTCCCAGAGCCCCTTGGTGCCACAGCTGTGTCTGTGCAAGGACAGCGCTCAGGTGCAGCTGCTGTGTGCTGGGCAGCAGCCCTTCCTTCTGCTCCTCCTGCCCATGGTGGGGGAGCAGGCTGGGAGAGCAGGGACAGTGCACAGTGCTGCCTTTTTTTTCTCAGCTGCTTTACAGGACTGAGGTCAGGCTGTTGGAAGGCGACTCCTGCGCCCGCGTGTTGATTTAAGCCCCTGGGTGTCCTCAAGGGTTAAAGTGGGGGCAGCTGGGACAGCGTGTCCCTCCAAATGCAATGTTATCCCGCAAAGTTCAAGAGCGGGGCTGGTTTCCTGCCATGGTGCTCTGTGCAGATTCCTCGGAGCAGTTCCTCGTGTTCGCAGAAAAGCAGTTACGTGAAGCGGGGCCCCTGTGGGACTCTGGGTACAGGGTTGTAAACGGGTTGTGGAACTCCCTGGAGCAAAGCAATGCTGGGTGCGCATCCCTGCTGCTTGGGTGCTCCTTGCTGCCCCGCTCTGCTTCCCCCCACTGCTTCCTGATGCTCACACTTTTCCTTCCGGCCTCGCCAGGCTCCATAATTCCTGACCCACACAGCAGCTCTGTGGGGCCTCGCAGGCAGCAGCACTCAGAGCAGGGCTCCTGCTGTGCTCTGCACAATATGGGGAGCGCTCCTCATGGAAATGGGTCGCTTTGAGCCCAGATCTGGGACAGGCTGCAGGGAATTCCCATGGGCTGCCTGGATGGAGAAGGAACGTGCTCCTCCAGTGGTGGGCACAGGGCCTCGAGCTGCTCTGGGGGAGCTGCAGCCCCCAGGTGTGGTTTCTAACAGAGCTGGGGTGGAGTTTATATAATCCGGCGACGACAAAGCGAGGGGACAGGGAGCAGCGCTCGGGACTGGAGCTGCCTTCCCTGAATTGTATGGAAATGAGGGTGTGCCTGGGGCCTTCCCAGCTTGTGGCATGCAGAGCCAGCGTCATGCAGAGCCCGCAGCACGCCAAGCACCCAGCCGTTGCCTGCCCCCAGCCGTGCCCCCACCAGATCCCACTTGGGCTGTGTCCCACAGCCACTTCCCCTCCTTGGGCACAGCTCTGCAGGGCTGTTGTTGTTCCTCCACATAGAGCTGGCTGTGAGGCTCCGCCACCCGCCCTTCTGTCTCGGCCATTTCTAGGAACTGCAGCTGTTGACAGCAGCTGGATGTTCCTTCCCTGTGCTGAAGGAGGGGCCCTGGGCCTGGGCCAAGCCGTCCATAGGCACCTCGCACGCCTTGCGCTAGGCTGAGCCTGGGCTGCAGCTCAGCTCTGCACTGCTGCCTCTCCTCACTGCTGAGGGAGCTTGGAGGCCGTATGTCCCTGAATCAGGGTGCACGGTGCTGCTGGGGTATCAGGAGAGCAGAGGCACCATTGCTGCATCCCTGCACCCAGCCATGCTGTGCCCTTGCCCACTGCTCAGTTCTGGAGCCCCTGTGACTTTTCACCCAGATAGAGCTCTCTGCTGCACAATAATATTTGCACGCCTAAAAGTAGCAGGATCGATCACAGCGCTGTTTTGCAACCTGTTGACGAGCGGGCAGTGCGGGATTATATAAGTGTACACAGCACTGGCACCGCTGCCCCTCAATCATATGAGCACTGTTGTGTAACGCTTCCTACCGCTGGCACCGCACCGAGCGGCTTCACCGGGCACCGCTGCAGCCCCACACCATGCGGGCCCTGGAGTTGGTGATGGCCTCCAGGAGGGCTGGGGGTGCAGGGACCTGGCAAACCCAGCAGAGAAATGAGCTTGCTGCCTTCCGACCCTGCAGCAGGGGGCTGCGGTGTTGGGTTTTGAGGGCAATGGATGCAGGTGCCGTTATCTGAGGTCTGAAGTTCGCCTTCAGATGTCACCCACGCATGACGCAGTTTCCCCACCCAGGCCAAGTTAAATTACCTGCAGCTTGCAATTAAGAGCCGTTTCCTAGTCATCAGCTGCTTGTGATGAGCTCTGAGCACTCATTGCCCTGACACACCACAGGCACAGGGGCTCATCCTCACCCTCTGCATTGCGGTTTGGCCACCATCACCCAACTCCTGCTCCAGCTGCACTTGCCATGCGGACATTTCCTCATTCCTCCTACCTGGGGCAGAGGTAGACCTGGCCACCCCAACACGCTCCCCACAGCCCCTTGGCTTGGTGGCACAGAGTCTGTATGCTGACAGATCCATTCTGTGCCCAACACACAGGGTGCCGTGCTCTGCACGGTGATGGCAGTGCCACACGGGACACAGAGCCTTCCTGGACACACTCAGAAAACACATCTGACATTGTGCAGAGCAAGGAAACCTCATCCTGGGACACAAGCTAATCTGTGCGGAAACACAAACCCGTTTCTGTTCCAAGCACCGATCCCCCCCCATTCTTTCTGTTCCCTGCACTGGCACCAGCCCATTCCCACAACCCCTGCCCCTGGCACGAGCACCTGCATGGTGAGAGGGACATACGTACTTTGCAAGCCAGAGCCTTGCCCCATCGGCGAGGTGCTGCTTCCCCGCTGTCCTTACTTGGCGGGCCCCCCCCCCCCCCTCCCCCTCTGAGCAGGAGGAGCAGAGCATCGCCCCGCAGACGGACACTTGTGGGTGCCAGAAGTCAGGAGCAGAGCGCGGCACGGCGGCACCGAGAACTGCAGCTCAGCCGCGGCCATTCGCGGGGCGTTGCTGCCCTCTGCTGAGCAGGAGCCCGGCGGGGAGCTCTGCACCCTGCGCTCTGCTCCCCGCACTCATCGCCCTACACACGGAATCTTGCAACATGCTTCTTTCGTTCTGCAGCCTCGCACCTGGCGCCCCGCATCTTGCAGGCTGAACTCTGCAAACTGCAGCCCTGCATCCCACACCCTGTGTCCCCACATCCCTGTGTCCCCACATCCCTGCTACTTCTTAACTCTGCATCTCGCATTCCTGCACCCCCACACCCCTGTACGCGGCATACTCCGTTTGCACCCCTCCCTCTCTGCAGCCCCGCATCCCCGCACCCGTGAATCCTGCATCCTCTTTTCCCCGCAGCTTTCTCACATCCCTGCAGCCCCCACCGGGGCACCACTGTACCCCCGTATACGTGCAGCCTCACCCTCCCCCCTCCCCCCGTGTTATACATCCCCTGCACGCGCCTGCCGCCCCGCATCTTGCAGCCTCGCACCCCTCCCTACCCCCGCTCACGTATTTGCGCGCCCCGCAGCGCCGCACCCAGCACTTCCCCGCCACGCCGCCAGGGGGCGCTGCGAAGGGACGCGGCGATGGGCGCGGTCTAGGCGGGGGCGCGGTCTCACCGGCGGGGCACGGGGAGGAGGCG